TTCTGCGGAATTTTGTGAAGTTAAAGTGAAACAGTTAAAACTGATGAAGGTATAATCAATAGACTGTAAAATCGATTTCACGAAACAATGTACCAGGTGAAAGGTTTAGAACACAGTGAACTTCACGATAAAAGGCAGGCCCGGCATGCTCTAGATATATCCCTTTATCTTTTCATCTACTGTAATTAGAAATGGACAAATTCATCCACGGCAGCTAGATGTTAATACCGAACTTGCCTAAAGTAAACCAATGTACAGTATGCACGCTGTAAAAAAAATGAGTCAAAAGAATTCAAGACATCTACTAGTCATTAAGTGTTTAAATATGATAAATACAACTAATAGTCTTTGGTACTTCACGTTTCAAGAATGCGCCTTTACGAATTATAAAAAAATATATAACAGAGAACACAAAAATACTTTTAACATTTTTTAGTTAAATTAAATTCTTTAATCAGGACAAGTCGTCACATATTGACTGTTTGAATGTTTTAAAACATTTCTTTGTAGACGACACCCTGTATATGTTGGTTACATTTGAACATAACAGTTTGACGAAAGTATACACATTTGAATATAATAAAATAACATTTAAGGCAAATAATTCCATTTAAAACTATCTGCTCATTTGATCCAAATACTTTTTTTCCGGATCAATCATATTAACGCGTTTTAAAAAGAAAATGTGTAGCTTTAAAAAGATAATTAACAATTTTGCCTAAAAAATTCCTATAAACGGGAAAAAAATCAGCAAATTGACAGCACTACGTAGGTGTACTCAGGCTAATCGGTATAGACAATGATTTCTAGACCTGCATATTATATTTCAGGATGATTTGAATATGTGACGTCATTGAAAAGGTTAATGTATAATACTTTTAACAATCATTTTAATTTCGTAGGTATTCATTATTTTGGTTGTATATGGAAACTACATCAATTTACTAGTTATTAGTACATGAAACAAGTAATAATAATAAACATTTTTAATTGGAGTAAATTACCTCACTCTTTCCTTTAAGCATACGTACTACATAATATACATAGCACGTACTTAAACTAAAAGAAATACGATTCTATACCAGTATTCAAATGCATTGAATGAATCATAGCATCAGCAAGCGGCGGGCATTGGTCTCATTTCTAAAGAAAACTGTTTCCGTGAATCACGTTTTGATGCATTATTACAATAAATACACATAACGCTAATACAATAATTTGAGATATTCCGTGTTGCCAAATGGTCGCAGAGATAAGCAAAAAAAAACAAATTTCAGGAGTGAAACTAAACTTGATGATTTGAACCATGATTCTATTGTTCTTTTTTATTCACCTTTAATGACATACTCAGAATGACCAGAGTAAGCTGTGATGTACCTAATTCATATATTTTTTTTTTTGCAAAATTTAGAAACATTTATTTAATAAATAACTTAATAAATTTATTCTATACATTATAAATATTCTATTCTATAGATGTAAACGTTTATTATTGTTGTGGTATCTATAACTTTGCCTGAGGTGTAATTAAAATTTAGGACGAGGACAGATTATGCATACAAGAAAAATAAAAAACACGACGTGATTAAATATAAGCATCACAGGTTAATTTCTTCATGTCTATAAATAAACACGCAATTATGATTATTTTTCACAAAGAGCTCTCATTCATATTTTGATTTCACGCGAATATAATAAACATAATAAATTCGTGTTTTATTCACCAATTGAATAAATTAACTTCTTTTCAACATCATTCCAATTCTATTTTACATCAGTATGACCTTGAATTATATTTTTCTACATAATAGCATATTATTTATGAATGCTGTTCGCAGCCGGTAGACAATTTTTCTATTAGAGAATTACCTCATTCACAAACAGGTGACAAAAGTTTTAAAAATATATTTTCCCCTCTATGCATGCAATTTAAAAATAAATTTGATATGCGGTTCCTCCATCCGCAGCAGACAGTGGTATTAAAATAAGTTATCCTTATCACTACAGTAATATACGAATGTAAAGAACCTCCGTCTTTATTTACAGTTCCTAAGAACGATAAATTAAGTGTTTCTATTGACCATTAACTTAACAATTATTTTATTGATTTCATCCATGTAATTTTTTTACGACAGTAGTACGATTTTCATCAAATTTAATTTATAGAAATATTCCTCAAATGCATTCGCTAATTCTTTGTTTACACGATGATGATATAAGTAAAAGTTATATTTAAACTTTTTTTTAATATTGCCAAACCGATTTATATTAACAGGAACAATTCGCCTTATTTTTAAGTGAGTAATTCGTCCTCGATAACATACTTTTTTTAAACACCCTGTTTTAAAAGCAAAAGGGTAAAATTAATGTATAATTTGATGCATGGTAAAATAATTTAATAAGAGAAGTAAAAACATATTTTTTAATTTGTGTGATTAAAATAAGAAAGAAGTTCTATGGAGGAATGTTAGGAACCTTTCCTTATAGATATATAAAAAATCTATTAAATTTGTGCATATATAAGAACGACAACTAGTGGTAAACAAAGTAAAAGCCACGATCCCTTAATGAATACATTGTATATAAAACAGTATTTCTAGAAAGAAAAATAAATCTGTGAACTTTGAAATAAGCAGTTCTAGAGTTACATCAGATTTATTAAACAACTTAGATCGTCGAAGTAGTAGTAAAGATAATCTAAAAAAGGTAATAATTCATGATGGACGGTTATTCGAATTTATTTTCTTTCAATTATTAAAAGTATAATGATTAAAATTTTAGAGTCGTCGAATTTCTAGGGTCTATTTTCAAATATACCTTCATAGGACTTTTTCTGAGGATTGATCGATATCACTTTTTTGGTCGATGTTGATAATCAACTGAAACCAGTTCTCCGTGATCATTAAATATATTTCATAAAATCTGTTATTTTAACTAACTTGGAGCCTTAGAATATCACATATAGTAAAAACATAAAACATATACACCTAAAGTTGTGTTGTAAAAAACAAGGTAATATTCATTGGTCAAAAATGGAATGTATTTATCATTATTTTACTAAATAAATACAGGGTGTAAATACAAGATTTTTTAAATGGCAAGTAGAATGCATTAATAATAAGCATTTTCTGTAATCAAAACTGTTGAAACAGTAAACTGTGGGCATAAAATAATAATAATCAAATTTGCTAAAACTTATTGAGAACCTCTGGAATTATCCTTTACATAAAAAGAAGCAGTGTTATAGATAGCAAGCCTTTTTAACCTTCTTTTTTTAGTCAACAGAAAACTAGGTCATTATTATCAGTTCCACCTATATACTTTACTTTTCGTTATAGAAATGTATGTCTTTTATAAGTTTGAAGTAAAATTATTAATGAACAAATGTTTAAGTAGGTACAGTCATTTATTACTTTTCTGGATTCTTACTTTTAACTGCATTTACTTTGTGTGAAGAGACAAGACAGTTTATCTAGACTATATGTGTATGTACCCTGTTGAATAAGTACGAATAAACATACTAAAATGGTTCTTCAACACTGTAACAATGAACTGACGGACATGAGTTGGAAATTGTGAATTAACTACATATCTTTAGGTACAGTAATTTATATAAACTCTAGTAAACAGAGTCGGTTGAGCTATCGATGGAGTCAGTGGTTTAACAAATGTTTATTCGTGGTATGTAGTTGGGCAGTAGGTATTAAAAGAATTTTGTATTTGAAAAAGAAATTTGTCAACCTTGATTTACTTTCTTCAAATATGCTCAACAATTTTTTAAACTCCCTATTTTAAAGTTCATTTAAATTGTTATTTATTACTTTGCAATTAATAGTTTTTAATAGATAATCCCATACCTTTGATTCTTTTGCATATAGGTACTGACTATTTTTTCAGACATCAAATCAAATAACAATGATATAAAATATAAAAATCATTTGCAACAAAGATTTCTCTATATTCGAGTATAGGTAAACTTAGCCAATATTTTTTTAATTATTTGTAAATACTTTCAATGAAATAATCAAATTAAAAATGTTTTTTTTTTAACAGGAACATTTCAAAAATATTCATACAATGGTGTATTACATATTACTTGAAAGGTGATGATTTAAATTTGATAGGCAACTTCTTTACTTCTACTTCTAACTAAATTAATATAGTTATTATGATTCAAAAATATTGCTTAAGGGCGTATGACACTGTAAACAGTTTTCTACAAAATTTTTGGAATAATTATATTCTACATTATTTTTGTAGTTGCGTACATAGAATAAATCAAATAATTTTGAAAAGAATTCTGTCCATAAAAATTTAGAACATGTTCTAAATTTTTATGAGAATCTGCACGAGAAATTGCGCAGTGTGCAAATTGTAGTAATTACCATCTCCACCACCATTCTGTACTCGGTGGTCAGTGGTCTGTGGCCCATTGTTCAGAAAGATGCATATAAACATAACAAAGCATAATCTTATAACCTTAAAACATTCAGAAGTGCAGATAGGGAGACTGTCAAGAGTTTTTAAGATTATTGGGAGATCGTTGCACATGCACAGAACATATAAATGACAATTTTTATAAGTCCCTTCCCTTCAACATTTCACAAAATAGAATCATCCTCAATAGGTGGTGCCACATATAAACAGTTAATACGCACGCGCATAAATATAATTTTACTCAGAATATTTATATTCTTATATAAACCGTATTCTATGATATTATAATTTTTAATCATAATGACGCTAAAATTCACTTTTTTCTAACTAAAATTATTAACAAAATTTTATAAGTAATTTCGTTGAAAATTTGTTGTAGTGTCATACGGCCTTTAACTAATCCCCAAATTTCATCACCAGAATTCAAATTTTTAGTTTGAAATATTAATCCTGAAATATCCTCGTGTAAATTGTAATAATAATGACTCTTTAGCTTATACAGAAGGAAAGTTTCCAAACAGAAAAAAAGACAAAGTACTACTCGTATAATAAAATCGACTCACCAAAGTGACGATATCGCCTTTGCATCTATCAGCAATCTCCTTCAATCGAGCATAGAGGAAATCCATAAGATATTGGAATCTTTGGTTGAACTCGTCCAGCTCCTGTGCCACTATATCGGCTCCAGAGGGCTGTCCGGGACTCCTGGAGTTGAGGAAGGCAGTGTTGGCATCCAAGGAAGGCTGCGCCTCCAGAAGTGCCTCTCGGAACCGCTGCACTCCTTTGCTCCATATCTAGTGTTAGGGTTAGAGGTTAGGTGTTGGTTAGTTCAGTAAGTGCATGTGGTAAGTTGACATTACATGAAAGCTGTGATATTTGTCTGTGTCTTCTTAGAATGAAAGTGTAAAATAGACATAATCGCTAGAACTGTAGAAATTAAATTAAATTTTCAAATCTAAATAATTATCTATTTATAAAATTTTTTTAATAGTTTTAAATGCTTTTTTAAATTATTTGGCCAGGCTTGTAAGTGCATATTTGTGGATGATATATCAAAACAACAACATTTCAAAGCAAATTAAAGTGGTTATACTGACATCAAACAGTGGCTTAAATGGTTTATAAGACAATCTGATGGCATTCATTGTCAGTAGAAAAATTGCGTTTATCCTATCAGCAATGGACATCGTTAAAAGGATATTTGCAAACAATGTATCTTGCTTACAGTGAAAGCTAGGCTTTTCTGCCCGTAAAGATCACCAGAATTTTTAAAAACCATGCTTTAGGCCAAGGGTCGGCAACTGGCGGACCGCGGAAGGTAAAATACTGGACCGCCAAAAATTTTTTGAAAGTATAAATTACTCAAATAAATTATTAAAAAAATGTTTTCTACGTTTAAGTGCCAATCTTATAATTTTTTCTAGTATTTTACAATTGTGCGAGTGTTTTGAGTTCTTAATGGTTAGTAAGCAGATTAAATTTGAGTCCAAATTAAAATAAAAAATAAGAAATATGAATTTTTTCTGGACCTCGTTAAAAATTTTCAAAAATATCCGGACCCCACCTAAAATTACTTGCCGACCCCTGCTTTAGGCTCTTTAAATTCAAATTTGTTTGAATACTAGAGAGGAATTTATCGTGAATTAAAAACTGCTCACAAATCAAACAAATTTGAATTCAAAATGACATGCCTTTTTGGCTTGGTGCTAATTTTCTTCATTTCTTTTTTTTAGTTATTTATTTAATTAGATATAGCCACCACTCCACAGAAACCAATTACATAATACAGAAACATATGTTTTGTCTCAATATCCACCATTTTTCCTTTGAAAGCCTAGCCGAAAAATTGTTGTTTTAAACACGCCTAATAAATATGCATTGACTTTGTTTACTAACAATAGCCAAATCTTCCTTTCCGATTGCTAAATTTTTATTCTATATACTGCATATAGATGCAACATAAAACCACATATAGATGCAACCTTCAATACAACATTTGCCAATATGTATTCTTAAATGAACGTGTTAACAAACACAACCTTAAGAGCACGAACATATGGAAGCGATTTGATGGGAGAGTAGTGGACAGTGCTTGCCTGACAGATAAGGCAACCACTGCAGTGTTTGTAGTAAACACCTCAATGTTTTTCAATCCACCAAGCCACTCTCCGCATTGCAGTATCAATATGATGTGGATGGTGCAACCCCAGCTTCCATCCTGTGCCTTCTTTGACGTAAGGTATAATGTGCGCTGGTTTATATAAGGTGGTGCTTGCTAAGCAGATTCACCAAAACCTATCCATAGACAATGTTGCATTGCAGGTTGTATTACATAAGACGGGCACCTGGTCAGACCAATCAGCAACGGAACAGACCACAATATATTTAAATGAGACAACAATCAAATTTCACAAAAAATAACAATGGTACTGATCGGCTAGCAATTTTTAAAAGGAGTGACCCAAAATTTTGCTCGTTTCATCGACCACACGAATTCGATTCAAAAGTGGTCTAAATAATAGCTTGTGGTGGTACTTTAGAGTAAGCAAAATTTTAAGTTGAGCATAGTTTTTGTTTTGGAGATATGACAAGTCGAACCTATTCGTTCAGGCCAAGATGAATCTAACATTCTCGGCACATTAATTAATTGCGATTCTCAAATATGCAAAGTGTACCATTTTCTATGTAAAATCTTTCGTTCTTTATGAATTTACCAAATGAATGAATTTTATCAAACACTTTTGTTTTAATGAGGTACTGCCGATTTTACAAAAAAATCGGGATTTTTGCTGAAAATCTTCCATTAATTGGTGTTTTTATAATAGAGACTTACAAAATCTCGATAGATACTCTAAACCTTGTATCCGAAGGACTTTGAACTAGTATAATTTGGATGTAAGATTAGGTCTGGTTATATTACTGAAACGTATTTCAATAATTGTAAGCCTCTTCACCATGTTACGACACTAATCCAGGAAGAGGTTTGTGTTTTTTCTTGTTTTGTTATTTTTATAATTTTTTTTATTTTTGTTTTTTATTTTTTTCTTTTTTTAATTTTATATTTTTTAGCGTTCTTTTATTTTTTTTTAAATTCACAGATAAATTAAATTTTGAAGTGAATCTTAATAGCAAGTATATTAAAGTATGCGAATCTGCTTCTTTTTATATAGAAATAGATACGTCACAAATATCTGGATTCGATATATGAACTCCTTCATACTGTGCGTAACCGAGATACCAAACTTAAGAAAACATCATGTTGTGAGGGACTACACTTTTTGCAAGCAATGAGTTTAGATTTGCATCACTCAGATTATGTAAAATAATACGCAACTATTTTCTTAAGAGAAGTCTCTTCCGTCGGCTCAGCAGCACCTGAATTCACCAAAAAACTGATTGCTCGACAAACCGAGTAACTTCTTAAGTGTTTGCTATATCTTGGAAGTGGATATATAAATCGATCAAGATTTGCCGTCTACAGTATAAAAATATCGTTAAATCGAAGATATTTAGCAAAAATGCAAATAATTTTTAACAAAAATCATTTATAACTTTCCTGTACTATATTTTTGGTAAAATATAATGAAAGATTAGAAAAGAATGGAAAATTTTACGTTATAAATGTTACTGTTTGTATTTGTTGAGAATTTTAAGATAACGCAAGAGGTCACCGTGAATGTCGGATTCGCCTTGGCGTGGATGAATCAAATAATGTGTTTAACTTGCAGTATCCTAAAAATTGTATGTATACTTGAAATTTCGCCTACATTAAACTATCACTATAAGCTATCATTTAGACTACTTTTGAATTGAATTCTTGAGGTTAACGAAACAGGCGAAAAATAGGGTTTTTTTGTGACACTCTTTCCACATCCGGTTTTGAAATCCATTTTGCTTTGCTTCTTTGCACAATAAACTCACTATTATTATTCTAATATACATCTTCGATGGAACAAGGATATTGACTGAAATAAGCAATTTTTTTTGGGCAATAATAGTGAAATATGAGAGGAGTGACCTGTTTCATTGCTGACCATTCCAGCCAGCTGAGTACTTGGCCTTAATCTATATGCGGCTTAATATTTTGAATGTTTTTTACTGACAATTATAACGAGAGAAAATTGTTTTCTAATTTAAAAGATATTCAGAAACTTCGGAATATAATTTTTTGCAACAGATGTGTGAGACGTGAGACAAACTAGCCAAATAAATATGTATTAAAGATTTTGAAGTAAACAATAGCCAAATCTTTCTTTTCAACCGTTAAACTTCCAATAACTGACATTTATTAATTTTTCATTGACTATAATTATTTTTATCTTTCGATTATGTCTTTTCCAATATATTCACATATCATTTTCTTCATTTTTTAGTACTGAGTATTAATGATATTTGAAATTAATGATTAGTGAATATATTTTGGGTTGAAATGGCTTTCTTGAGGTTTTTCAATGGAAACGTGAAGTCTACATATCTAAACATAAATCTAATCTTTGGTTCTATCAAATTACTTCAGGGTGTATTTGAGTAAGGAGTAGGAAAAAGAAGAGTTAGAAAAATGAGCAAAAGCACCAAATAGTAAAAGATTGAGATAATCTATTCTACAATATGGAAAACAAGTACTACGATGGAGAAATATTAATTACCACCACCTAAAAACCCAGAAAATAGAAAACAGACATTAACTGATTTAGTAAAGTTAACTCACAAATCACTTTGGAAATATCTAATAGGATTTGCTTAGAAATGCTTAATTTGTTAAATAATTAAGAAAGTAGTGTCTACTATTAACCACAAATACAGAAAGCATAATAAATATATACAAAAGGTTCACATTCACGCCAGACAGTCTCACAGAAATCTAGCTATACCTAATATGAACATCGTAACAATAACGTTTGACATTGCATTTTTTCCAGTGTAACATTCAAACTGGCAATAACGACCAGAGAACAAAATATGAATAGATGTTTGAAAAATGGAAATTTACCTTTCCTTCCCTTATAAATTTACCCCCATTCACATTTACTTGTTCTATTCTAGGAGTACGTTCAATTACACTGTTCAAGAGATTCTGCAAAAAAAAAATAGATTAACTGAAACAGAAATATAAATTTTTATGAAAACATACCCTTGTAGCATCTAAATGTTCCTTTGCCCTTTCTTTTATGGGTTGAAGGTTTTCTAGTTTGCCATATTGTTCATCCAACCAATCATCTTCAATTTGTTTGGCTTCACCGTATTTGTTAAGTAGGTCATATGCTTGTTGGCATCCTCTCAGTCTGTCGGTCAGCTGACTGCATACATTGCTCCACCTGTTGTTCAATTTTTGTATTTCTTTATCGAGGCGTTCTACATCAGAATGAGGACCGCGTTGACTTGGCCTAGATTTTTCTGTAAGACGCCTAGTGTTGTCAAAGTCATCATTAAGTTGATCCATGACGATTTGTTGTTGACCAACTGCCGATTCCAATTTAAGCAAATCATCATGTACTGCCTCCAGACCTTTCTTTGTACTTGGTAAATCATCAAACAGTGCTAACTTATTTTCAAATTCGGATATAACTTGTGTAGCATCTTCCATACCATTAAGAACAATCTCAATACATTTGAGACGCTCTATGTACAAATTGCTGGTATTCCAAATGTACTTCCATTTGTCGAGGATGCTTTCAAGATCTTTTTTGTGCTGTGGAGTTTTAAGTGTTATAGATCTGAAAGTGTCTTTTAGTTGTTCCACTTCGGGCTCTAGATTTTGCAATCGTGACTCGAATTCTTTATGTTCAAGGACTAGATGTTGTAAAGTGTCTATGTCTCGAGGAAGAGGAGATAAGACGCGTTGGTTGATAATACGTTCAGCTTCATCTAAGGACTGCTGCAAGTTTGATTTTTGACTATTGAAAAGCCTGGATTTGTTTTTACTTTCCTCTGAAAAATTATATAAAATGAATTAGATAAATACAGAAAACAAGAAAAGGTAAAAAAGTACCCTCAGCTCTTGCACGTTTCTCAAACTCGTCAAACAGTCTGTTGACCTCATCCATTTCTCTTTTCAGTCGACGTAACTGTGGGTCTGATGGATCACCTTCTGCCATTAGTTTGTCAGCATCTTCATTTAAAGCTCTACGAATGGCATTCCGTTGTTCTGCCCCAATGGCAATGAACTAAAATAAAAAATGAATAAGTGTGGAAAGGTAAAATAATAATGGTTCTTACTTGTGGTAAGTCCCATCCTTTAACGACTTTGATAGTGGCAAATATCATATTTTGGCGCATTCTGAGCTGTTTCTTCTGCCAAAGCGCGATGGAACGGTCATATTGCCTTCTAAGGCGATCAGCTATATCCAAAGCATCTTTATCAGGTGGTGGAAGTACAAAGCAAACGCCTGGGACTTGAGACTCTACGCCTTTGGCATTGTGTACTCTCCATTTAGTTCTTCCTGAGTTGTCAGTTAAAGTGCACTCTTTGTTCTTTTCAATTACAAACTAAAAATGTATCAAAATATTATTAAATGCTATTTTGAATTGCAATTACTCTGAAAGTGGACTTACATTGTTTTGTTTGTAATTACAGATTGCAGTGACAGTGAGTGGTCTAGTAACAGGTTGTCTGCGTTGTTTCAAGGGTGCAATATCCTGAGCCCTGGCAGTTAAAGCCTGTACTTGGTCCCCAAATGTATTTAGTTCATCTCTCAAATTCTGCATTCCTTGGAGAAGCCTTTCACCAATATCCAAACTGAATTCACCCTGACTAAATTCATTGTTCATAACTTCATCTTTTCTGTAAAATAAAATATTTATTAGACTCAGATACACAACAGAAACAATAGGTACTCACTCTTTTAGCCATTCTTCTGCAGTTTGTACATCTGAGAAGAACTGTTGGTAATTTCTGGTATTTTGTAAATGGGTTTCAAGACAATGTGTCAGTTGAATCAACCATGCCCACTGAGCATTCATGGCAGCCATGTGAGCTTCAATAGCTTTTGTAGCAGGATGACTTTGTAAGACTAGACTTTCACCTCTTTCCAAAACTGAGTTAAATTGGATCTCTCGTTGTTCTAAATCATTCATAAGATGCTAAAATAGAAAAATTTAGATCAAGTTATTTACAAACAGAAAAATTAAATAAAACATTGTTTTTGTGTACCTCATCTCCATTCCCAAAATTTTGCTGCATTAAAACAAAAGCGTTAAAATGAGACATAATATACTTTCAATTTCATACTGACCTCAAAGTATTTTTCAACTCCTCTCACATCTAACTTTGTATCGCTCCAATCCCTTGTCACTTCTATTTCTTCTTTTTCATTCAACCACTGCAATTCATTTGTAGCCGACTGTATGAAATCTAGTAGAGTTTCTAAATCTGTCATTCTGTTTGTACTGAAAGAAAGTAAGTCAGCATAAACCTTTTGTAATTGTCCCAAATGCTGGTTATAGAGAGCTAGTTCTTCGCCATTAAAATACTGTCTAGCTTTGACGCAAGCCTCAACTTTAGAGTGGTACTGATCTATGTGCTTATGTTCGCGGTGGTGAATATCCCGTTCTGTTTGCACAGAGGGAAGATCTGTGCCATAATCACCCTTCTTCAGTTGTTTCTAAAAAAAAAATTAAATGAAATGATAAAATGTCAGAAATAACTGTTTTTTAATCTTTATAATGGTTTGATGATAGTTAAAACATACCAATTTATTTTTGCACCATTCAATATGTTCTTGCAGAGATCTGAAGTGGGGGTTGGTGTCAACATTCCTAGTTTCTTGTACTGTGCGAATATGTTTAGTTACAGTCCTTTCCTCGACTGGGAAGCTTGTGTTGGCCAAAGGCCCTACAATTTTATTGTGCAACATGTGTCTTAGGTGTACCCATCTTTCATGCAACTTGTTAACTCTTTTATCGAGTTCACCGGCTTGTGCATATCTTCCATTTCTCAAGGTATTCACATCGCTTTTCAGTGACTGTATATTTTGCTCTGTTATAACTAAATCTTGGTCAATTGTGTCTGCAATCTTTTTAGCTTCTGTTGGATGGATTCGTTCGATTCGTCTAGCTTCGTTTTCTATAGTCCGTTCGATAGTGTCCAGGTTTGAGTCGGTTTGCTTTATTTCTCTACAAATCGAATATTGATTATAATTTCATGTTATATTTTTGTGTACCTACTGAAATATAATTGTATAGAATCATCAAGCAATGTTAAATATCAGAAAAGTAATTTATGGTCTATTTATTGACTGTTTATGATGAATTAAATTCTTTCATTAAAAAAATAATTTAGAGTTGCATTCCAGAAATAAATACAAACTCTGCACAAAAATTACTTTCAGACCAAACCAGACGACGTTCGGAGAGCCCAATGTTGCCGGCAAAGCGACAGCTGAAAATGCCGCAGATTGCCCCAAAAATCAACACACAAAAATTAAGCCACGACCACCGGATGTTTTGACGACATAAATCCAGAAACCCAATCACAACGATAATAGGTCAAAACAACACTAGGGATTGCCGAAATCCAGAGAGGCCAAAGGCAAGAAACAACAGTAAAGATTCACCTCGAGAACTGGCGGAGCGATCAAGACCTGCGATCGCACGTCCATTTTGGTTTTCTGCAGTTAATTAATTAATCATAATTAAGATAAAAGATGACACAAAAGTGTAGCCAAGAAAAACGCAAAAAATGTTAAACAATACCAGTGCAAAACGACTCAGTCGAAGCACTCAATGAATGATACCACGAGAGAGTGTCAAGTAAGTTTAGACAATCACAACAGAACCTGACACCAAGTTCAAAAATAAAAGTAGAAATGGAAAAGGCAGACCAGCAACAGGCTGTCAGCAACGAACATTCCCCGAATAGTGAGCGTTGATAGAGAAATGCGCAAGAACGCATTCCTCCGGTAGTGACTACTATCGCGAAGAGAACCAATGCGATGCTCAATTGTTTGTTGAAGAACAAGAACAATTCATATTTCATTTTTCCGGTACCTTCAAGGTCAGCAGAGAGTAGAATTTAACATTTTCGCGTGATGACCATGTACAGGCTAAAATATTAGACTTAGTAGCAAACGCTGATGGTCAGTACGGTGAATCGACGAAGCTAACAGATGAAGTGAAGACAGGGCATCGTCTTATAATTAGAGTTTGTCACATCATCGATGTATAAATAAGGGAATGTACGGGATTGGAATCGTTGATCGAGATTCGTGTTTTGTATAGGGCATGTTAAGTGTTTATTAGATGTTATTAAGGGCTAAGCATATCTCACGAAATTTAAAAATATCACGTTCTAACTATGCCTATCAAATTACGTTTTCCTGATGCACACTTTTATTCGCGTAAAAGACATTTTGACAGTCTAATATATACAAGAAATGAACTCTTGCATCTGTCGTATTGAGTGCTATTACATATTATGAAACCTAATTTTTATGTTTAGTGTGTGTAATATTCCGATGTATGTGACTGATAATGAACAATTTCAATTATTCTGTACAAATATGTACAGTGGCCATTACTCCAAAGTCGTCGACTATATCGTCACATGTATCACATGTCCGACAACACAGAGCCTGTCTCCATCAGCACGGAGTTACAAACCTCTCCAAATACGTCCAATTAGAGTAGACGATATCCAGAGGGGCCGATAGCAGAGCGACCACCAAACATCGTTGCGGGACCCCAGGACAGTGATTCAGTTTCGAATTTTTCCGAGAAACGCCAGTTACGAAATTCGAGCTCGGATACGACTCCATTTTTTTCTCGAATAAGTAACCAAGGCGATCTTCCTGGCAAGTATGAGCCCAAGCACTTAACAGCTTTTTCTAAAGCTTCTACATTGTGATCTAACGTCGCCCAGGATTATTAATACGGACTGTTGTCGATGCATGGTGTTTTGTGTAAACCAGGGTACCCTTTAGCCAAACCCAAAAAAAGTGAGAAGACTCGGTTGAAAACCTCAGTGCGAAGGACCATCGGGAGGATGTACTACAAAGGAAAGAGGTCGACCAGCGAGAGACTCCATGAGATACAACAGTTTGAAGGAGATCTTCACATAAGCGATTTTTATGACACATATCTATATGCTAAACCTCCCCTTGTTTATTGAAAAATAATTTAATATAGTCAGGTTATTTTTAAAAATCTGAAGTAACGCCACTAACTTTGCCCAAATATCAAATTTCACTTATTGTTAAAACTCGCAGATGCGACTACGGCTATCACCAACCCTTTCGTGGAAGTCTGTTATGCTGCTGCTCATCAACAATTCATGAGAAGGAAATACAAACGATTACATCAGTCCGCTGGTTATTATCATCAGTGACCGTCAACATCCGTCTAAAATGGAGCTGAAGTTAAAATGTACGGCTTTTTATTTAATTTTTTGTAGGTATACAAAGTCCATACGGTAAATATGTTGATACAGGATAGTACTTGGATAAAGTGCGACAATTCATGTAGATAATCATCTGTCTGGTGATGTTTTTATTAATCTTTGTACATTGCTGGAACGAACTGAAATTCTGTCACGGCAAGTGGTAGACCGAAAAATTTTAAATGAACTTGTTTTATAGCCGACGCCGTGCTGCTTTATTTAGATAGTCATGCATTGCACACATGAATTTGTTTATTCTACTTTCAACATTAATAAAATGAACTGATTGCACGTACAAAAAATAAGTGTAATATAAAGATACAAAAGACAGTAAATCTTTTACATAAAAAATTTTGTGAATAAAAAAACGATAATTGCAAAGTTTTAGTTAATAAAAAGCGTTTGAATCGATCTCAAAAATTGTACATTTTTTGAGATCGATCACATTTCAATATTCAGTCAATTTAACGTATAGGTACATGGACAACGAAATATATGGAATATGGACAAAAAGTTCGTACACATTGACAAATTCTTGATATATTTGTTGAACACGAATGATTCTATTTAAAGCCTGTAAATCAACATACATCAAAGAACCTGACAAATTCCTCTAGTTGTTGTGTTCGCAAATAATAAGCTTTTAGAGGACATGTGTGGATAGAATTCAATAACGAATATTCCTAGAATTCACAAATATTCTACCAAGCATAGGGAATGAAAATCTGAGGGCTCAAATAACCAGTCTGAAGAGTGTAACTTTTACAGTGATTGGATCGGCGTTCGTGATCAGCCAATTACCTATTAGCAAAATGTTTACGTCAGGTTCGGGATCAGTTCGTTCTCTCGTAATATTAGCATCTTTATATTTGTTCACATTGAACAGCCAAAATATCACGAGCAGTTTAGTGTTGTGTGCCAACAAGTTTCAATCAGTGTTCCGCGTTTATCGCTGAATGAATCGTACGAAATGGATCATATTCCCGCTAGCATTGTCTTGCTGCCTAAACTGTTGAAGACATTACATAAACGTCAGCGAAGTTGTCCACGGAACGTATTTTTCAAAGCAAACTAGAGGATGCAAACAGATTCACAAATTTTTCTGGTATAACAACAACTATTAATTTTGAACAATGCAATTCTAATGCTAATGTCATTGTTTTATTTCTATATTTAGCTCAATTAAGGAGGGAACGCATTAGGCGGTCGCGGTCCCGTCGCATCGCGGACCGTGCTAGTCTCGATCGCGCGCGGTGGTGTTCCTTCCCATGTTTTATAATGTATGCATTCCCGAGCTCGTCTCGCTCGCATCGCGTTCTCCACCGATCATATCCAAAGAATCTCGGGAGACCATAGAAAATACCTCTTCCATAGAACTCATTTTCTTAACTATTAAAACAATAAAGCAACTATTTAAAGGAGAGCGCGATCAGGATTGTGTGTGATTGTGTGAAGACCGCGATCAGCTCAGCCCAGAACGGTCCGCGATGCGACGGGACCGCGACCGCCGAATGCGTCCCCTTCTTTAATGTTCCACCAAATTTCCTTTTCTCTATAAAGATTACAATTTTTTCACTGTCACTCTATAAATGGAGTAAAATTGACGAGAACATTTCTCTTTTGAGGTTGCTGACAGTCGAAGGGACTTTTGGTAAGCTCAACTTGAGCAAAGATAAAACATGCTAATATTAGAGGAGCTGCTCCAGTTTTATAAACAGATGTAGATGTCAACATAGAACTGCTGAAGCAAACAGGGCTTGTATTGCATCGCATCTGTTCACAATGTTTGTCGGTCGATACGCACCTTTAGATGAATTTGAAATGATGTCACATTGTTTATAGTTTTTACGAAAATCTAGAAAGTTTTCACGACTGGAATGACACGAGCAAAGACCGTTCTTTCCGATACTCGGCATCAACGCAATATTGTTTTTGTTTATCATTAAGGATTTGCATTATATTTTTCTTTCTTTTTTACTATAGCGAGCTTCTTGTACTTAAATTCATGCTTCAAATTAATTACTTTAAAACTAATCTGATATTAAACATTTCAATATTAAACATTAGGTACTAACCTGTGTACTTTCTCGGCCAACCGTTGAAGCTTTTCCAATCTCTTGATTTCTTCCATAATATGCCTATCTCTCTCCTGATAAGCGACCATCAACCTCTGCCAGTTTCTTTCAATGTTATCGATATGCAATTCAGGCTCCACATCGATCTCTCCAATGCTCTTGAAATACTTTTCAAGATCTTTAAACAATTGACTACAGTAGTTTTTATCTCTTTGTCTGGGTGGTATCTCGTCGGTACGAAATCTAGACGATTCGGCGGCCAGTTTTTTCATCTCTATTAAGGTTGTTGGGAAGGATCGGTCTTGCATCAGGCTGTACTTCTCTCTTATCCACATGTGAAGAGCAGAGGCGATCTCTCGGTATTCTTGGACGCGCTGCTGGGCAGCGGAGTCGAAGAGCGGATGTATTGGTGGTGGTTCAGGGAACACTTCGTGGAGGGATGAAATGTAGGTGATGAGTGACTTCTCATCGGGATTATGAGTGTCAACATCTGAAACAAATAGTTTATTTGAAATCGTTCGTCCATATATTTTTCTCTATTATACTCAACAAGACGCGAAGTTATTTTAATTCAATTTTTTTTATAAGAAGTTTGTATTTTCATGTACTGTTGGAATATAAACCTACTGGTGCATCGGAGACTATTTCACAGTGAGGAAAAGAGAGAGAGAAGAAAGAGGGAGGTTTGTCCTTAGGGGTCTCTATCTAATTGAAAGTACTACATTCGAAATTGTGCTTTATTCTTTAGGCGTAAATTTACATATTATTCCAGGCGGTACTTGTTTCGGGTTGGGTAAAACGCATATAATCGGAGATTTTTGCTTTAACGGCTTCTAAATAACATCAGAAATGATAATATTTCTATGCAAATAAAAAAAAACGTGGGCTTAATTGTTATTGCAAAAAAGTATAAAAAATAGCAAAAAAAATTAATTTTTTTCTTGGATTTCTCGTCGACAACTTAGCAACTATTCATTTTAGACAAAAATGGAAGAGGAAAAAAAGTTTTGTAATTAAATTTTGATCAAGATAGAGTTAGTTGCAATTCGAAAAAATAATTATTGTTGTTGCAAAAATCGGAAAAATCATTTAAAAAATTGCAAAAAATGCTAGTTTATTTGTCAATTTTTTTCAGACACTTGAATAATACCTAGGATCTTCATACTTTTCCCAATTAAACTTCTTAGTGCATAGAATCATCACACCAAATTTCATCCAATTCGGTTCGATAGTTTTTACATAATAATTGTTTAATTTTTTTATTTTTTTTAAATTAAAAAATTTTCAAAATCAAATTTCTAAAAATCTAAAGCCTTTGAATACTTGAAAATTTCACCACAAAAAGAAGAGCTCTCAAGCTTTAAAATGCTTTTTGAAAAATTCAAATCGGACGATTAGGTGAGCCGTGGTGATTGTTTAAACATTTTCGCAATTTTCACGCTTATAAACAATTGCAATAATTTAATGTTTTTTCAAATTTTTTTTTATTTTAAAATATGGTTTGAAAGTACTCGGAAAGGCGAGTATTTAAAAAAAAACCTGATGATCCGCCCATTATTTTCGGAGTTATAGCCCGTTAAAGTTAACCCTTATTTACAGCAAAACTATAAGGGCTGTTTTTTGAACCAATAGGTTTGTTATTCCGAGTACTTTCCAGATATAAATTTTCAAAATTTGCAATCACGGGCGTCCCATTTAAAATGTCACTCAAAGATATTCAAGACCGCGTGAAATCAATGAGGTATCAGTGGTGGGGGGAGCAAACACACAGCTACTCCGATCTGAATTCTCGAGTTCAAAATTGCGACACTCGGAAAAATTTCACTTATCTCAGCGTCTAATGGACCAATTTCGATGATTTTTTTTTAAATCGATGTCTCGCAACTAAAAAATTCAATTATCATATTTTCAACTACATTTTATTATTAATTATTGGACTTTTGACATGCCGATAAACAGTTACTTTAAAAAATGATTAATTTATTATGTTTATTTATTTACTATGTTAATTTTCACGACCAAAATTTTTGCATGTTGCACCATGTTGTTGGTATTAATTAAGTATCCAAAAGATTCTTATACTTTTTTTTATAAATAAAAAATAAATTTTAGATAAATATTTTAAAAGTAAACGAAAAAATTAAAATTATAATTATTCACAATTTATTTTTTTTTGAAAGATTTTTAGAAATTTATCGTACAACTAAAAATTAATACCAATTTTCAGTTGTTTATTTAAATAATTATTGTTTAAACAATTTTATAATATTTAAACAAACTTACTAGTATTACCTGGTGCAACATGCAAAAATTTTGGTCGTGAATATTAACATAGTAAATAAATAAACATAATAAATTAATCATTTTTTAAAGTAACTGTTTATCGGCATGTCAAAAGTCCAATAATTAATAATAAAAGGTAGTTGAAAATATGATAATTGAATTTTTTAAGTTGCGAGACATCGATTTAAAAAAAAATCATCGAAATTGGTCCATTAGAAGCTGAGATAAGTGAAATTTTTCCGAGCGTCGCAGTTTTGAACTCGAGAATTCAGATCGGAGTAGCTGTGTGTTTGCTCCCCCCACCACTGATACCTCATTGATTTCACGCGGTCTTGAATATCTTTGAGTGACATTTTAAATGGGACGCCCGTGATTGCAAATTTTGAAAATTTATATCTGGAAAGTACTCGGAATGACAAACCTATTAGTTCAAAAAACAGCCCTTATACCCTTATAGTTTTGCTGTAAATAAGGGTTAACTTTAACGGGCTATAACTCCGAAAATAATGGGCGGATCATCAGGTTTTTTTTTAAATACTCGTCTTTCCGAGTACTTTCAAACCATATTTTAAAATAAAAAAAATTTGAAAAAAACATTAAATTATTGCAATTGTTTATAAGCGTGAAAATTGCGAAAATGTTTAAACAATCACCACGGCTCACCTAATCGTCCGATTTGAATTTTTCAAAAAGCATTTTAAAGCTTGAGAGCTCTTCTTTTTGTGGTGAAATTTTCAAGTATTCAAAGGCTTTAGATTTTTAGAAATTTGATTTTGAAAATTTTTTAATTTAAAAAAAAATAAAAAAATTAAACAATTATTATGTAAAAACTATCGAACCGAATTGGATGAAATTTGGTGTGATGATTCTATGCACTAAGAAGTTTAATTGGGAAAAGTATGAAGATCCTAGGTATTATTCAAGTGTCTGAAAAAAATTGACAAATAAACTAGCATTTTTTGCAATTTTTTAAATGATTTTTCCGATTTTTGCAACAACAATAATTATTTTTTCGAATTGCAACTAACTCTATCTTGTTCAAAATTTAATTACAAAACTTTTTTTCCTCTTCCATTTTTGTCTAAAATGAATAGTTGCTAAGTTGTCGACGAGAAATCCAAGAAAAAAATGATTTTTTTTGTTATTTTTTTATACTTTTTTGTAATAACAATTAAGCCCACGTTTTTTTTATTTGCATAGAAAAATTATCATTTCTGATGTTATTTAGAAGCCCTTAAAGCAAAAATCTCCGATCATATGCGTTTTACTCAAGTACACCCTTTGTAAAACAGATAACGCCTGGACTATATATGGTGATTTAATAAGCGAATGTGAATAATGTGATTTTAATGTAATCCATGTTTTATTAGGCCAATTATATTGAAGAAAACTTGTTTATTTATTACATCTTAGCATAGTTAAATTTGTATGGACTAAGTCTATTTTGAATTCGACGTGTGCTCATCAATTCTTTCATTATATTTTCTTTGTCATCTGAATATGACTTAAAAATGATTGCTATGCTAAAGTAATTAAATTATATTCACTTTTGCAATAAGTAAGTAAAATAAATATAAAAAAAAATATAACAGCACATACGAATTTAATTATATTTTCAACAACATTATCAACATTTCTTTTTTGAAACGTGTATTTTCTAAGTATGACCATCACGTGTTATGTTACTCATATTATAAATACCTACATTTATTATTAAATGCATCACGTCTTTTTGAATCAAAATTCCTCATAGCTACTAATTATATAAATTATATGACGCTGAATAAATTTCTTAAAATGTCAAGTGTCGAAGCTATAAGACCTTAATTTGTAGCGGGAAAATGTGATTTAAATTATTTTGACTTTCATCACTAAACTAAGATCCGCTTTCTTAAGATCTTCAATTTTTATAACAAATGTTCTATAACCTTATTATACGTTTATATATTGAACAGCTGACCATTTAATGTGAGTAGTACTGAAGACTCAAGTGGTACCAGTGTTTGATAAAATCATTGGTTACTTTCACTAAATAATATAAAAGAAGGAAAAGTTACATTTTCTATAAAACAATACAATAAATATTTATTTAAAGCAGAATGAGGACAATGGATTATTTGTGTTTTATCTTTCATTTGCATTTTTATGTATATTTGGCTGGAAGTAAGAAATATTTTCGTTAACACTCGTTTTGATAAACATTGTAGGTAATACTTTTTATTGAGCAATAATAATTAAAAATCAACTAAATTTTCATGAAACAAGCAGTCCTTAGATTTTAAAATTAATCTTTTTTATAAACCTCAAATGACACACTTGGGGTGAGCCACCTTAAAGGTCACATTAGTGCGAATTGGGACTTTGTGAACTTTGAACCTTTATGTCTTATTTGTTTGTTAACGAAAACAACGTATTTATATCAAAATTGGGGTAACATTTTCCGAGCAATCGAATTAGTTTTGAAAAAAAAAATAATTTGTTAATAAAAAAATGCGATTGAAAAAAAAACATTTTTCTAAAAATAGCTTTTTTTTTAATTTCGTATTTTTTTATAAACAATGGTTAAAGAAAAAGTAAATAAAAGATTTTGAAGTTTAAGAAAAAAAAACGATATTGTTAAAATGATACTATCGATTTTTCCCCGTATCTCAAATATAGGCAAATTGATATTTATTTTGCACTCTTTTGTATAAAAATATTAATTTAAACAATATTATCCATAAATATTGACAAATACATGTTACAGTAATTAAACTATTAATGAAAAAAAATGTTTGAAAATTATTAACAATAACTAAATAAACAATGTTCTAGTATATTCGACACGTAAAATGCGATGTAAAATATCGGAAATTTGCATTTCAATCACTTTATTTCTAGATTATGTGATATATATTAAGCCACACTTTTGCCCACAGTAAAGTCACACTAGTGCGAATTCGCAGAGATCGGACTTTTCAGACTCTCTAGTTTGGCCGAAAATAACAGACTGAGGCCAGCTGTGGTACGCCTCGACTGTTTGGGCTACAAAACGAATTATCGTGGTGGGGGGAATTCTCGGCAGCTGCTGTCTGAGAAATGCCTGTTCAAAAAAACGGTGATGCGAATTCACACTAGTCTGACTTTAGGGGGTTAATATTGGGTTATATGTTATATTTTTGTGTACACATTCAAATGAAAAAGTTAAGTTATCGTTAAATTATTTATAGATTTAATAAGTGTAGAGGAGTGAAGCATTTTTTTTTTATTTAGATACATAAATGGTTACATTGTACCTAGGCCAAAAGTTACATCCTTATGGACGAGCCAACTTGTCCTTTAACTTTAATAATTTGATTTCGCGTCATTGATCAATATCTATATAGTCTAATGAAACTTTTAAATGCCTTGTGGAAGCAATTATTTCACGACCGCTTTTATTTCACGGACGCTGTAATAACCAAGTCTTCGTGTTTTCAATGTCATCAATGAAATGAGTTCGTAAAAATACATTTTATGATGAGGTCGACGTAAAATGAAAATGTAATATATTGAATGTAGTTTGGTGGTTGAACGTCATACTTTAGAAATATTTTAAATAATTGAAAAGTTTAGTGCGACTGAACTAAATCTCCCTATCATCGTTATAACAACTCTTTCAAGAAGACAGACAAAAGTTTTGCCAGTATGACGTATTCATTAACAATGGGAAAGTCGAAAGCTGAAGATACTACACGTGAAATGGTGACCATTGGCGCAAACATGCCTTATCCGAAAGTTAATAGTTTCGGAAATACAGGGTGTTGCAAGTTAAAATTTTAAATATTTTTTTGCGATTATTCTGAAAATATGTAGGTTAGCAACTTGAAAATTTGTGAAACTATATTTTTTTAGGCGACGAATAAGATGCTTGTTGTAATTTCAGCATTGCTCATAGAGGGCGCCACTTACGACCAGTTTTACCGAAAATTTAGTTAATAACGTTTTACCTTGATTCAAAACCTGAAAGAGCTATCATTTTTCCATTAATTACTCTTGTTTCATTTCGGTATCTCGATCCGTTTTTGAGAAAAATCGACGAAATTAACAATAAAACAAATAAAATACGTAATTATGATTTAAAGTAATTCTTCGAAGAATCCACCGTTGACACTGATACACTTTACACGTTTTCTGAGAGATCTTCGAGTTTGAAACAACATATTGGGATTGTGTCTGACTTCGTTGGCAGCGATTTGTATTCTTTGCCACAACTGCCAATTTTATCAAATTTTTTTTAGCCATTCCAACAAATATATAACGAATTATTATGAATAACGAATTTGCCTCCATTTTCCAGTTTCTTTTTTTTAACCTAATTTCTTCTATATCTTAAGCTTAATCTCTTAAATTCACAGCTGTACTTGTTATATGTATGTACAATTTCACTCAAAAAAAATGAAGTACTTAACGATGTGGCATATATGGGGTCAAGTTATCATGCAACACGTTTTATACAATAATAATGTGTTTGTCCACAGTAGTGTTACTCATAAATACGTGGACAACATTATAACTACTGTTATCTACGTACATGCGTTAAATGTTAATAAAATATAATCCTGTTCATACAACCTTTCTTGCAAAAAGCAAAATCTTCTTTCTTTTCAGTGTTACTTAAGTGGGTTTTGAAATATGCAAAGCACAACATGGCAAAATAACTACAATATTACTGTTTGCAGACATTATATTTCCTAACGGTATCTTGATATAATTCAATATGTAGACTATTATTATAAACATATAGCCTACAATGTAGGTGCCAAATATAGAGAGCTTATAAACTGAATGGCGTGAATGTCTAAATAAACTTGTTGTACAGGATGTTTCAAAAGACTTACCACAAATTGTACAAGTAACAAGATACAGAACATTAAAGTTAATTCTGTTGTTAATATTGTTTAAAATTTTTAATAAGATAATATGTTAAATAAAATTGTTTTGTTTTATTGTTCAAGGAGATGTGCGTTTGATGTTTAATAGACTNATATATAACGAATTATTATGAATAACGAATTTGCCTCCATTTTCCAGTTTCTTTTTTTTAACCTAATTTCTTCTATATCTTAAGCTTAATCTCTTAAATTCACAGCTGTACTTGTTATATGTATGTACAATTTCACTCAAAAAAAATGAAGTACTTAACGATGTGGCATATATGGGGTCAAGTTATCATGCAACACGTTTTATACAATAATAATGTGTTTGTCCACAGTAGTGTTACTCATAAATACGTGGACAACATTATAACTACTGTTATCTACGTACATGCGTTAAATGTTAATAAAATATAATCCTGTTCATACAACCTTTCTTGCAAAAAGCAAAATCTTCTTTCTTTTCAGTGTTACTTAAGTGGGTTTTGAAATATGCAAAGCACAACATGGCAAAATAACTACAATATTACTGTTTGCAGACATTATATTTCCTAACGGTATCTTGATATAATTCAATATGTAGACTATTATTATAAACATATAGCCTACAATGTAGGTGCCAAATATAGAGAGCTTATAAACTGAATGGCGTGAATGTCTAAATAAACTTGTTGTACAGGATGTTTCAAAAGACTTACCACAAATTGTACAAGTAACAAGATACAGAACATTAAAGTTAATTCTGTTGTTAATATTGTTTAAAATTCTTAATAAGATAATATGTTAAATAAAATTGTTTTGTTTTATTGTTCAAGGAGATGTGCGTTTGATGTTTAATAGATTATAAAATAACATCGCCTATTAAAATAATGAAATATGCATTACTTATTTAATGCAGAAGGTATAAAGATAGATATTGGGTGAATCAATTTTAAAAAATTGTCAATTTAAACAAAGGAGAAAAACTTGTATTCAATCAATCAATCAATCAATCAATCAATCAATCAATCAATCAATCAATCAATCAATCAATCAATCAATCAATCAATCAATCAATCAATCTTTATTCATCCAGTTGATCATACAATGATATAGGATATGTCAAAAAAATGTTACAGACATTTTTTTAAAAAGAAGATACAATAAAACTGCACACAAAAAAAAGATATGTACAAAATAACACATTAAAACTCCAAATACTCCCTAACCGAATAGAAGCTGTTTTCTAAAAGAAAATTCCTTACAGCACACATATATCTACTAAAACTTGTTAGTGATTTTATACTAGTTTCTAATTTATTATAAAGAACAGCACCAATATAATATGGATCAGCTCTATACAATTCCAAACGATGGGCATCATATTGCAAATCAAGACCGTATCGCGTAAAATAGGTGTGATCGGCATTTTGGTTCCTAAAACTTGAAATATTTTTTTTACAAAACATAGTAATTCCAAAACATAAATACAAGACAATGTTAAAATACGTTTTTCCCTAAATATTTGTCTACAAGATTCACGATAGTTAAGATGATACATTGAACGGATATCCCTTTTTTGTAGTATAAATATATGGTTCACAGAAGCATTATCACCTGCCCAAAAAATTACTCCATACCTAAGCTGAGACTCAAATGTTGAAAAATAAAAAGTTTTGACTACATTTATATTACATATTTTAGACAATCGATTTATAGCAAAGCAGCAAGTGGCGCACTTCTTACTAACAATAAGTTCATTTATGCGCACTTTCCAATTTAATGAAAAGTCTAAGTTAATACCTAAAAGCTTAAAGTTTGATACGTGCTGAATTGATGTTTTATCTAATTTTATAAGGGGACTACATGTATAGTTTGCTGGAATAGTATGAAACTGCATGCAATACGTCTTTTCACATTTTAAGACTAATTTAGAATCTGTAAAATACTGACATAAATACTCTAAATTTTTTAACTCGCTAATTGTTTTTTCGACAGATTTACTAGTTGACGCAATTGTAATGTCGTCAGCAAAAGCGCAGAAATAAGTAGATACACAACTATTTATATTATTAATATATAACAAAAACAATAATGGTCCAAGAACGCTACCCTGGGGCACGCCCATATCAACATTTAAGTCCGATAATCTAGTACCATAAAATTCAACAAACTGTTTTCTACTCGTCAGATAACATCTTAATAACTTGTTGCATTGACCAGGAAGACCATAGCACTCCACCCTTTTTAGTAGAATATCATGATCCACGCAGTCAAAAGCCTTTGACAGATCCAAGAATACAGACAATACACTATCTCTCTTATCCTCTCCAAGTTACCATATACAAAATGCAAAAAATCCAGTAGTGCAGTGTTTGTTGAATGTTTTGCCCTAAAACCGTGCTGATTTGGAATAAGTATATTATATTGATCTAAAAAGCTTGTGATTCTCTTAGCAATAATTTTTTCAAATATCTTAGAAAATACCAATAGCAGTGCAATTGGCCTGCAATTACATAAATCAGTCGCATCGCCTTTTTTCGGTAGACATATTATTTTGGAGACCTTTAATAAATTTGGGAAACACCCTGTCTGAAAACAACAATTTAGTATATGTGTTAATGGCTTCGCTATAAAATGAGCACATTGTTTAATAATTTTAGTTGAAAAGTCATCCCAGCCTGTCGAATTTGCGTTCTTTAAATTACTTATTGCATCAAGGATCTCAGAATCCTGGACTTGTCGAAGAAATATTGTGTTACTATTTATAGGTGGTATTAGCAGATCATCAAAATTATCATTATTTTTTTCTAAAAAAGTCCAAAATATGTCTTTTCTATTAGTTCTGGATACAAGTCTATCAAAGCAAAAAGAATAATTTTCTGTATGCCCCTTTTTCGTCCATTAAAAAGAATTTTAAAAAGAACATTTTTGCACATATGAAATCAGTAGTAAGGATCTAGAAATTACAGCCTCAAAAGTTTTAATCAAACTATTCCTGGTTTGCAGTAGGTATAATAAACACTCTCAAACATAAAATATTTATAATACAAACGAATGTTTCTCTCAGTCTAAGGGCTATTATAGGTGTTCACTTTAAAAAAAATTTGACGTTCTGCATCTCGAAGAACACAAACTGGATTTTTAATATACCCCTACAACTTAACGTTAGTTTTTTAAAACACTCTGTATATCTAAGTTTAATATTCCTACCTTCGGGATCTAACAATCTGGTAACTCCGTATTCCTTTTCTGCGACGTAGAAGGCGTGCTCCATTCGTTCCCTAGGCCTCTGGCTTCTTGCCTGCCTGAAGTCGATGAGGTCAGGCCTGTTCCTGTGGATAATTGAGGAGAAGGCCAGGCCGTCCCTCCAGGATTTAGTGAAGTCCAGGACGTTCACGCCCGGATACTTGTGCGTAGTGCGCTTGGCCCATCTGAGGAGGTAGTCTTTAGCCGAAACGTTGGGTTCCTGTCCGATAACTATGTCGGATATCTGCAAAGAACATACACGTATTGTATTACTTTCGTATATGCATAAAAATGTGATAAGCAAGATGTGATAAGCAAGATGAGCATGCAAGGAGAAAATAGAAAAATTGGGGAAACAAATCCAACAATACAATTTTTTGTTAATACGCGAGTATGTATTGCACACAATCAAATTGCATACATTTATATATTTGTGTTAAGAACGTCATTCTCATATAAAGAGTATTTTATATGAAGAAAATAGATTTTCCATGTTTGTTGTAATTGTCACACCAAAAGGTGATTTTTAATATTTACTCAATAGTATCATAATATACTGTTATGGTTAGCTTTTATCATGATTGATTTTAATTCTAAGATCTGTACTCCTAAATTTGAATAATAATGTACCTAGCGTGTAAAAAGATGTCACTAATAGAAGGATTTGTGACAATTTATTATGTAAAACAGACGCCAATGAATAACAGCTTTATGTTTCGATACTTGGCTACATTCAGGTATAACGGATAACGAAGAACAAAACGCGGACTGAGTCATTTTTAAGTGTATTTTTATTCTCTATAAAAAAGCTGGTAATTTATATCATTGCAATGAAATAGACAAAGAGTGAACTTAAATGACGATTGAGCTCATTTTCCTTATTTTTGTTTGCTTGCATTCCGTAAAAATCAACTTTTGAATCGTCCTTTTAAGTATTAAATTCGACACTTTTCGGCAGTTCACTAAGTTCATCCATTAATGTCAGTGTACAATATATCCAATGTACCTAAAGTATGGAATACATTTTTTAAAATTTATATCTTTAATTCAATTTTTTAGACAAAACAGTTTTTCAAATTAGTGTATTAAGAGTCAAGAAAATCACAAAAATCTACGGTTTCAAGGAATTTCTATAGTTTATTTAAGTATTTAACTTGTTGATAAAAGTCCAAACAGTTTTAAAATTAATTTAGAAAGTTATGGATAACTTGTGTTAATTTTTTGTCTTCATCCTCAAAAACATAGGAACCTCTCGTGTTTCTGAGGATGAAGACAAAAAAGAAACTACTGTTGTATCAAACTGTGTATGACTGTGTTGTTAAGTTAGAAAATAAGGATAAGATGAATGATCAGAAGAGAAAATACAAACTAAAATTAAGTTTTAGTTTAGGACCGAAACCATTTGACCTCTTGCCAACAAGTTGGTGAACGTCATTGTCGATTTGAGTAAATTATAAAAATTCACCGAATTATTCAAACAAAAAGTGACACAACCGTTGCCTTCCCATAACTGCAATCTTTACAATATAAAAACATATATGTAAGGATTTGCATTATAAGATGAAATAAAAAGGGGCGGTGTACATTTCAAATGCGTGCCCTGTCGGCTTGGCGTGCTGATGAACAATCCAGGTTTTTTGCTAAGAGACATTGGCCGTACATGTCATTTTTGTTTGTGCGTGTGAGTGAGTTTGACGCTTTGCTTGGTCGAGTGCATGGCACGTGTTTTTATGGCAGTCAGTAGCATTGTGCATTGTGAGCACAGAGCGGCACACGGCTTGACCACAGATTTAGCCTATTTCTGCTACTACTACACGTATGTTTATTTATTTGATTGTCGCAAAGTTTCCAATGTCTAATAATAACTGAGCCTAGGTACCTATTTCTCTTGTTAATTTTGAAATACCTATTTGTGGTGGAAGCAGAGACTGACGACACCCGTTGCAACGAAAATTAATAAGCTCCTTTTATCCTAAATTATCTTAATAGGCATAAATAAAGCCTTAACAGTCATGCATTTATGGAATTAAATTTTTTGCGATGTCCTGCCTTGCATTCTGTTTAATAAAAGTAAATCATTTTTTATTACATTAAGTGGCAGTCCGTAGCCTCTTCTTTAAAGTGCATTTCATAATAATTGCTTAAAGTACTTAAGTGATTTATAATCCATGCATATTTTAAGAACAATTAAGACTAATTGTATATCGCAATAAAATATTTTTTGCCTTTTGTCCGTGAGAATTGGTAAACAATGAGACATACACTTTTTATTACGTTAAATGGAGCTGCTGAACTCGAACTGCTTTGAAAAATTAGATACAAATCCCATAAATTAAGACCATTATGTCAATGTTACGTAGATTACAATTATGTCAATATTAGAAATTTACATTTTTTTAATTAACACAAATATTCCGTCAGACTAGACTAGACAAAAAACTACACGAAAATTAGTAACATATTTTGCAACTATAAAATGCTCGAACAAATTACAATTTTAAATTTAATCAATGCAAGATATAAACACAGAAACAGTAAAAAATTTAAAACGATATTCTGAATTTTTAGTTGATTGATTTCGATGTTTATTACATAGAAAGTCGATGCATGCATTTTTAAATTAATATTAAGGATTATGTCCATTCATACAACCAATTTTAATCGTATAATTTGATCGACTACGCTCCTCTTGACTATAGTAATTTATTGGTTGTGAGGAGTTTTTCACATATATTTTTTTACATCATGCGAAAGTTCTCTTTTCTTTCAACAATTTTTATTAAAAAATTTTTTCGATATATTTCCCCGTTCAAAAGGTACAAAAATGTTACTGATTTTAATTCAGTGTTGCCAGGAAAAACAATATTTATATTCATTATTTACATCTCTATAATACCAGATTGCTAATTTTGGATATTTTCGAGCTTTAATTTACACATTTATTTTTCAATATTCTGTCATTTTTTTCAGTTCAACTACAGAGTATTAATTTAAATAAATTAATTTTTGTATACATTGTCCAAAATTGACTTTTTTTACATTCACTATCAAATATATCAGATCATCTGGTGATCGGTCTCACATCATTTATGACTATACCTATTAGCAAATCTTCCGCCGATTTATTCGACATTAATAATAACGGAAGCAGCAAGCATAATGCAAGTGCAACCCAATTATTTCTGATGACTCTATGATGACTGTTGCTCGCAAAAAACTGGTTGCTTTCCGGAATGCCAAGCTCTGTAGAACGGCTTAGATAGAGAATGTCGTCTTCACATTCTAAATGACATCAGCTGGTCACAATTAATATGCCGAGACTGTACAGATACAGTTAGTTTGCTCAGGAAGCCCATTGTGCCGGGCAAATATTTAGCCATGAGGCGAACTATTAATTTCATTATGGTTTCACTGGTTGGCCTTTGGTTTTTTATTGTAATTGTTAAATAGGGCCGTTTCCTATTTTTTCACAATTCCTTCCAAAACATTTGCATAATATATTTCATTTAAAGAAGTGACGTACAATGTATTTAATTTCCGATTATCGAATCGGATAATATACTTTCCGCATTAGAACTATTTTTCTAGCAACTGTAAAGGCAAACTGACATCTTTACAAAATGATTTCTTTAATACTTCCAACTTACGGTTCGTCAATATTATTCGTTACTTTTAAATCCAGTGAATTGTAGAGTGACACTTATATGACTAGTCGCTGTTATTGGCTGTTATTGGAACTGTGAACTTAATTAACAATATAATAAGCCACTAAAAATACATATGTGAAACTGTAAGAAATCTATACAAAACTCAATTTGTCAATAATAAAATAATTATTTTTATATTAACATCAAGTAACGCCTAACGGTACGACTTAAGACCCAAGCAGGAAATTTAAAAATACAATAATATACACAGCGTTCTATTTGAAAGAACAGAAATGAGAATCTGTATAATTAAAAACAATTTTGAAAAGTGAATAAATCAATTAGATGCAACTTCTATTGGGCATTATACTGATACTACAAAAAGTCCCTAGTTGTGCTTCTCCAACTTTTTACAATAAAAACGGTCGTAGTTGGCTGTGGTTTGGAATTATAGAATGATTTGAGTTATATTTCCGACGCGCTTTCAAAAGATCTATTTAATAAAAAAACACGTTGATTAAAAATAAAATTACGTTTTTTTTACAAGATTTTACATAATTTATTAAATAAATACACGAAAAGCAACGGTAAAACGCCTTCTTTAAATATTTTTACTAGTGCTTGTTGTCGTTTGTTGTACTTAAATTCGTTCCGTTGTTTTTATGTCTGTTTACTAGAACCAGAATAGGCTAATAATAATTAAAGCATCACTTTAAACCGCTTGTGTAGCAAAGAGAAGAAACAAGTAAATGTTAGATCAATGCGAACAAAGAAATATGGGTTTGCCAGAGATCAGTCTCAATCGGAACTCAATTACTCTGTCACGTGGTATCGAGATCTGTAACACGTGTTTGATCTTTTTCAAATATGTGTAACTAATAGCAGTGACTATAAACAGAATTTATAGTCACTGCTAATAGGTAGAGGAAAAATTATGGAACAGATACATTCTTAGATTTTCCGTATTATTTTGTCATTAGCTTACTTTTCCGTTGCAAACATTTAATATGGTACTGAATATCTATTGCTCCTGTTTTTGCTTCGAAAAATGTATTGGCATGTACACAGGCATTGCTTAATTCTACCTTAATTCTACTGTCAAACTTTTACAAAATATTCCTAGCCAAAATGAACACAAAAAGTCGAGTAAGAGGACAGTTCTGATCCCTTGTAATAAAGTGATTTTCCGACACCCCACATTTGTGTTCTTTTTGTTTAATTATATTAATAAATTGTAGTATACCGCACCGACATTATTTTAGGCATTTCAAATTTCAATTTTATTTTTTAGCGGAAGTAAGAGTGGGGTGTCGGAAAATCACTTCATTACACCCTTACGAGTTAAAGCATTTTGAGGATGGCAATGATTTTTGTCACAAAAAATGAATTGACAACAAATTACTTTTCATGGACATTTTTTAAAAAACAAAAATATATACATAGCATTACTCTTGAAGAATTTTGCTAAAGGACATAATTAAATAGAGAGAAACATGAGTGGCCTTCACATGTAAATGTTATGAAGATGACTATTTAATTAATTCATTAGGATGTATTGCATGTTAAATATGTAGGATAAAAGTACAATAAATATTCT